GCGCCCCCCCGCGCCCCCTCCCTCGTCTCCCTCTCCCCGCCTGTGACTCTGCTTTTGTGCACCCCCATCCTTCTCCCACCCCTGCACCTGCCCCCTACCCCACACGTTCCCCCCCGCCTCAAACCTTCCCCCACCCTGGCATCTGCACCTCCCCAGGCCTTTGAAGTGGCTGAGAAGGAGCTGGGAATCCCTGCTCTCCTGGACCCCAGTGACATGGTCTCCATGCGTGTCCCTGACTGCCTCAGCATCATGACCTACGTGTCCCAATATTACAATCACTTCGCCAGCCCTGGCCAAGGTGAGAGGGGTGCAGCCCTTCAGGGAGGCTGGCCCTGGGGGCGAGGCATGTGTCACACTGTCTTCTGAGGTGCAAACAGGCACAGGGAGGCAGCTCATCATTCATTCACTCACTGAAATATTAATTGAGTAAAATAACACTGTGCTGGGCCCGGGGGTATAGTGGTGAAGGAGATCGCTGCCTTCGGGGAGCTCATAGTCTGGCGGGGGAGACAGACAACAAACGTGTGAACCAGTAACTGAGCGAAATAATGTCAGAGGAGGGAATTCCCTGGTGGTCCAGTGTTTAGGACTCGGCGCTCCCAGTGCAGCGAGCACAGGTTGAATCCCTGGTCGGGGAACTAAGATCCTATAAGCCACTTGGTGCAGGGAAAAAAAAAAAATTAATACTGTCAGAGGAGACAAAGCAGGATGAGTTCATCCGCTGTCTGTGAGTTCACCTCTCTGTCACCCACCGTCACTTCCTGTTTGCAGACACCTCCCTGGGTTTTTTTTTCCTCCAGTGGGGAAATGGTCCTGTAGGGCTGTTGTGCAGCATCTTCCCCAGCAGTGACCTTCAAGGCCTGAGAACTAAGAGGCTGGGGAATTGTGTGGGGTGGGATAGGGAGGTGGGGGTGGGAGGATGGGAGGCTGCAAGGGTATTTCTCGGCCCTGAGTCAGGTCACTGGGTGGCTACTGAGCCTTCTGCTTGGAGAGTCCCCATGTGGGAATCTCTCCTGGACCTTGTCTTCCGCAGAGAGGAAATGGGCTCAAAGAGGGGAAGGGAGGAGCTCAGGGTCATACAGCAGGAAAACCAATTTCGGGTGTCCCGACTCCTGCGCTGTGTCACTGCTGTCAGGGGTCCTCTGGGGGTGGGCACCTTGCCCCTCCGCTGCCATGTCAGTCCTTCCTCCAGCCTCTGCTCTCCATGTGGACAATCTCAGCCCATCTCTTAAAAGAAAAGTATTCTAGGAAGTACCGATTTTTTTTTTCTTACTAGGAGTAAAACATGCTTACTGTAGAAAATTAGAACATAGAAAACATAAAAATTAAAAGATTAAAATAATCTGTTACTCCCCACCCCCCCCATAATGCTAGGGATTAATATTATAATTGAACAAATAACATTATATGTATTTTACTAGAAATAAAAATGAAAGTATTTCTCAACTGCTGAGTGTCTGGTGAGAGGCAGCGTGGACTGAACGTTTTTGTGCTGCCATTTACTGTCTGGGTGACAGTGGGCCACAGGGTCACCTCTCGGCTTAGGGTCCCCTTTGCAGTGAGGATAAGAATAGCACCCATCTCACAGGGTTAATGGGAGTAAATGAGGAAGGATGACGTGTGTCTGGTCCTTATTGAGGACTCAAGGTTACTATTATTATTACTTTTTTATTCCATTGGTTAGAATTTAGCTTTTGCTCACCTAGAATCACAATTCAGTCTTATCTTCTGAAGGGTTCCCTGTGGCCAAACCCCAATCTCCCTCTACTAAGCTCTTCTCTGGAGGGCCTCCTTCCGGGGACCTGCGGGCTGGGCAGGTGGAGCAGGGCCCTTGGTAATATGTTGGTGGTGCCCACTTTGTTCCCGGTCCTCACCAGGCACCCTGGGGGTGAGGTCACCCTGGTGGCCCAGCTCCCCATGTTCTGCCCGGGGCAAGAGCACCCCCTGGGCCTGTTGGGAACTCCTGTTGCTAAAGGCACAGCTTGTGCTACCATACGGCTTGGCCCCTAAATGCAAACCATTTTTATCCCACCTGCTGCTCAACCAGAGGGAATGCAGCGAGGTGTTCCAACGCTGGAGGCGAAGCTGGCTCTTAGGCTCCCCCAGATGGTCCTCTTCTGTACTTTCTGGGTGAGGGGAGGGATTTCAAGGGTGATTTTGACCAGGCTTGACTTTCACTGGACTGGGTAACTTTGGAAGCTGGCCGTGGCTGAGACAACACTGTGCCGTGCTCTCCTTTCATCTTGTGCCAGGCTCCATGGAGGCTGGTGACCCTGGGCATCTCAGCTGACCCCTGACCTCCAGGAGCCAGAGCCTAGTCTGGAACCAGAGTGTGATGGAAGGAAGCCCAGTGGCTGAGGGACTCAGAGGAGGGGTACCTCCCCTCTACCAGGGTGACAGGGGTGGTGTCATCAGGATGAAGCCCAGTTTCTTAGCGGGGCCCCTGAGGGCCTCTCCTGACTTAGCTTAAGCCACTCACTGCCCCAGCTGTAGTCATACTGAATTTCTTGTGCTGCTTTGAATGTATCACATTCCTTTACTGCTAAGCCTTTCTTCTTGGTGATCCTCCAGTCCCTGTCCTCACCCACCGTGCTCTGGCACATTCTTTCCTACTCATCCTCTCACCCCACATTTTGCCTCCTCCAAGCAGCCTGCCCTGATATACTCCAGGTGCTCTTATAGCCCCCTGCCCTGTGGTGAACATATAAGACTCTGGTCATAGTATCTCAATTACTCCCTCTCCCCTGTAGACCTGCTACATGACTCCAGCACCTGGCACTTATTCATTCATTTAACAAATATTTATTTCGCCTCTACCGTGTGCCAGACACTGTGCTAGGTGCTAGGGAGAGAGCTGAGAACGATACAGACTCACAGAGCTTGCAGTCCAAAGGATGGGGGAGGGAGAGAGAGAACAAAGTAATTAATATAATTGCAGATAAGTCCGATAAGCAAACAAAATAAGGTAATGGTATAAAAAACAACGAGAGGGGCTTCCCTGGTGGCACAGTGGTTGAGAGTCTGCCTGCCGATGCAGGGGATGTGGCTTCGTACCCTGGTCTGGGAGGATCCCATGTGCCACGGAGCGGCTGGGCCCGTGAGCCATGGCCGCTGGGCCTGCGCGTCCGGAGCCTGTGCTCCACAGCGGGAGAGGCCACAGCAGTGAGAGGCCCACGTACCGCCAAAAAAAAAAAAAAAAAAAGCAACGAGAGGAGGAAGGGGCTATTTTAGGTGAGTAGTCATGGAGGGCTTCTCTGAGGAGGTGACATTTGAGCTAATCCTTGAAGAAGGAGGAGAAGGAGGCCATGTGAAGATCTGGGGAGGAATATTCCAGGCAAGGGGGCAGCAGGGGGCCTGTGTGGGTCGGGGTGGGGGTAGGGGGTGGGGGGGGTGGGATAGTGGTAGTGGTAGGGAGTGGGCCCAAAATTTTTGACCAGGACTCATGGTAAGAAATATGTTTCCCATTATAATCCATGTTCACGTACACATATGTCACTGAAACAAGTTTCAGGAACCGATTCTTCCCCTTGAAACATGAGATGCCCACAGATATTTCCTTCTAATTCATCTTTACAATATGCTGGTTGCAGTCCACTCAGTTGATTTCAGGGTCCGTTAATGGATTGTGACCTGAGGTTCTGGCAATGCTACCTTAGGCCACAGTAAGGAATTTGGATTTTTTTTTTTTTTTTTTTTTGGCCGGGCCTTACAGCCTGCAGGATCTTAGTTCCTCAACCAGGGATCCAATACAGGGCCCCCTGCATTGGAAGCGCCTAACCACTGGACCACCAGGGAATTCCCTGGATTTTATTTTTAAGAATTAGCATAGGGCTTCCCTGGTGGCGCAGTGGTTGAGAGTCCGCCTGCCGATGCAGGGGACACGGGTTCGTGCCCCGGTCCGGGAAGATCCCACATGCCGCGGAGCCTGCGCTCCACAATGGGAGAGGCCACAACAGTGAGAGGCCCGCATACCGCAAACAAACAAACAAACAAACAAACAGAAAAAGAATTAGCATACAGTGGTATTGATTTATCTTTTGGTATACAGTTCTCTGAATTTGGGGGTTTTATTTTAGTCACTGGGTACAGAGTAGGTGCTTAGTGGATATTTGCTGAAGTAATGAAGGAGCAGAGTCATGGAGGAGGCAGGTGGGCTGGGTGGTGGGTTTCTTCTGGTTCGAGGGAGTGCAGGCAGGGTTCCGGGCCGCACCTGCCCACTTGGGCTTGAGTGGGGCAGCTCCTCGGCCCCAGGGAGCCAGCCCATCTTCCTGAACCTTCAGGCTGGCGCCATGTGGTTCCTCTTCTTTCCTTCCCTTCACCTGTTCAGCCTCGTGGGAAGGAAGCTACCCATCCTTTCACATGTTGGGTGCTGATGGTTCTGTGCTTGTCCTGGTGCCTTATTTTATTTTATTTTTTTAAAATAAATTTATTTATTTATTTTTGGCTGCGTTGGGTCTTCGTTGCTGCGCGCAGGCTTTCTCTAGTTGCGGTGAGCGGAGGCTACTCTTCGTTGCAGTGCGCGGGCTTCTCATTGCGGTGGCTTCTCTTGTTGCAGCGCATGGGCTTTAGGCACACGGGGTTCAGTAGCTGTGCCTCGGGGGCTCTAGAGCGCAGGCTCAGTAGTTGTGGTGCACGGGCTTAGTTGCTCCACGGCATGTGGGATCTTCCCAGACCAGGGCTTGAACCTGTGTCCCCTGCATTGGCAGGCAGATTCTTAACCACTGCACCACCAGGGAAGTCCCTGGTGCCTTATTTTTCACGCTGCCCTGTGCGGTGGGAGTCACTGTCCCGCTTTGCGGAGGCCTGGCAGGGTTGGGTAGCTTGCCTTTGGCACTTAGTTTGGAAAGAGGCATCCCCTGCCTGTGTGAAGTGGGAGCCTGGTCCCACTGCGTCAGTGGTCTGCCCTCAGGTGGTAGCCATGGAGCTCAAAGCTCAGGCCAGGTTGGGCCTCCTGGACCTCCAGGGTCTCCAGCTGCCTCAGAGTCTCTTTCTGGTCTCTTGGCAGCTGGGGTCTCATCACCCAGAAAGGGCCTGGCAGCATCTTCCCCGCCATCCAAAGCACCCACTCCCGCGGAACCAGGAGGCAGGGCTCAGGTAGGCAGATGCCGGGGGTGGGCAGGTGGGGTGGGGGGACAGCTGCCACTGCCGCGTTTAGCGGGTGTTCTTGGTCCCTTTCCCGTTGGCTTTGGGACTAGATTCTCACAGGCCAGGCCAGGGCGGTACGGGCAGGGGATGGCAGGCCTGGGAGGGGCACAGGGCTTCCACAGCACTGACTCTCCATCATGGGACTCACAGGACTCTCCCATGCAATACAGCAAATTCTCCCCTTGTTTCCCGTGAGACAGAGCTTTAAACTTCCTAGGGTGATTCTGCCTAATCCTCTCAGCAACACTGGGAGGTGGGTATTGTGTGTCCTGACGTACAGATGAGGAAACTGAATCTCAGAGAGGTTTGGTCATTCGTTCAAGATCTCTCAGCTGGGAAGTGGGGGCCTCACTGCCAGCCCCCTGCTCCAAGATGCTTAGGGGATGACACCAGCCTTTCACATCTGGACAACACTTCACAGTGTGCAGAGGGCTTTTCCCACCTGCTCCCAACTGCGCCTTGCTGGAGGACCTCTTGAGGGACAGGGAGCCCAGCCCACGGTGGGTGTCCAGTGAGCATGTGCAGGGCTGAGACAGGCAGGGGTTATAGGATTCCATTTGGCAGGTAGGAACCCGAGGCTCAGAAATGAAAACAGCTTGCTCAAGGTCACAGTGCTTAGAAGCTGAGAAACTTGGGCTTAAATCTGCTTGGTTCTAGTTGGGGGGACAGAGAAGGCAGATGAGGTGGGCCTAAGAGGGCAGCCACCTGTCAGGCAAGGCCCACCTGTGGGGACGGGAGCGGGACAAGAGCAGCTCAGGTGAAGGGATTATACAGCCGGAAGCTGCCTTTCTGGTGGAGAGGGCCCCAGAAACTGGAAGTCTGGATTTTTGTGTTTCCATCCTGACTCAGTGACCTTGAGCAAGTCTTTCCCCCTTTCTGGACTTCAGTTTCCTCACGTGCAAAACAGTGACAGTTCCCGCCCTCTGCCCTTCTGGGGCTCTGACGGAGTGTGTTAGCACTGCGCACTCTTGGGAGATGGCCACCGTTAGAGCGGGGAACAGGGAGTGTTCTTGAACAGGAAGGCTGGTGACCCCGACCCCACCCCCAGTCTGCCCACCCCATTCCCTGCAGGGCGATGAGTGCTCCTCGGGCAGCCTTTCAGAGCAGGGCGCCCACCGGACCCCCAGCAGCACGTGTGCGGCCTGCCAGCAGCACGTGCACCTGGTGCAGCGTTACCTGGCCGACGGCAAGCTGTACCACCGGCACTGCTTCCGGTGAGTGGTGGGGGACCCTGGGTGGGCAGGGAGCTTCCCTAGATTCAGCACCATGGTGTGCCAAGCCCCTTGGCAGGCTCATCATGCTGGAGCATCTTGCTTTTCCCCATTTTACTGATGAACAAACGAAGCCCTAGTGAGGGGAGAAGACTTGGTCAGTCACAGAATTAGAGACAGAAATGGGGCCGGAGCTCTTGGAGACTAAGTACCTGATGATGATCAAGGAGCAAAATGTGCTCTCAGAGCTGCTGAAAAAAGAAAGCATTTTAAAAATCTTTTTTTAGTTTATTTTTTTCTTCCTTTTTTTTTTTTCTAAAGAAAGCAGTTAAAAAAAGAAATCATAGTAACAACTTGCTTTCAGTGTGTGGCTCCCAGGGGAAGCCAGGTCTAAGAAAACTGGTATAGCAGGCAGGGAGAATATAAATAGCTGAGAGAATGTGTGAAAACGCTTTATATGTTAGAAAACAATCAGCAAAGAAAACTGAATAGTCCATGGAAACCAGTGACTGGGAGTTATAGTGTGTATTCAGTTGTGGTTTAGAGTATGTGTGTGTGTGTGTGTGTGTGTGTGTGTGTGTGTGTGTGGTGTGTGTGGTGTGTGTGTGGTGTGTGTGTGGTGTGTATGTGTTGTGTGTGGTGTGTGGGTGTGGTTTGGTGTGGTGTGGTGTGTGTGGTATGTGTGTAGTGTGTGTGTTGTGTGTTGTGGTTGTGTGTTGTGTGTGTGGTGTGTGTGTGGTGTGTGTTGTGTGTGTGGTGTGGTGTGTGTGGTGTGTGCGGTGTGTGTTGTGTGTGTGTGTGTGTGTGTGTGTGTGTGTGTGGTGGCTGGACCTGGAACCCCAGGCACCTGATTGCAGAACTGAGGTGTCATGGGGGAAAAATCTCGAGGAAGGAAACCATCGCACAAACAGTCACGTCTGGCCATCAGGGCAGTGTTTTAAATACTTTTTGTGGTGACATACATTTGACACTGTGACCAGTTGTAAGTACATCCCTGAAATCAAACTTGTATGAATAGATGCACAACTGGAATTAGAGTTTCATAAAACAAGTGTGATACATTCTGATATATCTTATTTTATTCTATTTCATAACAAAACAAAACAAAAACGCCTGGTTGGTTGAAAACCACTAAATTGATTTCTTGAGCCACTAATGAGTGGCAGCCCGCACACTGGATGGAACCTCCGTAGGAGCTGGGGGAACCTTTGCTTCCTCTTGCAGCAGAAACTGAAGGCGTGTTTCACAATTTATGTTGCTGATTTCACATGGTTTTATTGTTCTGGTATGATTCTGACATTTACCCTTTTTCTTTTCTGCTGGGAAGTTCTGGGTACTGAGATGGGATCCAGGCTGGCAGTTGGGAGGAGGGGTAGCCAGCACCCTGGGCCGGGCTGCCTGGCTAAGTTGATCCCCCATCCCACCCCACCCCTGTTTTCCCTGGCAGGTGTCGGCGGTGCTCCAGCACCCTGCTCCCCGGAGCTTACAGGAGTGGGCCAGAAGAGGGCACCTTCGTGTGTGCGGAGCAGTGCGCCAGGCTGGGCCCTGGTGGGCGGTCAGGGGCCAGGCCCGTACTCCCCGCACAGCCAAAGCAGCAGCAACTTATAGAAGAAGCCAAGGATGTGGAGAGAGGCGGCCCCAGCCCTAATGCGGCTGCAGGGCCCGAGGTGGACGTACCCAAGGCCAGCCCCGACGGCCGACCCCAGATCCCCACCAAGCCCCGGGTTCCTGGCAAACCACAGGAGCTGGCCAGCACCCCGGGCAGCCGCCCCACACCTGCCCCCAGGAAGGCCTCTGAGAGCACAGCCCTGACGCTCCCCACGCCCCGGCCCCGGTCCAGCCTGCAGCAGGAGAACTTGGTGGAGCAGGGAGGCGCCAGCAGCCTGGTGAATGGTGAGCAAGGGCCCGACTGGGGCTGGGTGCTTCCTGAGGTGTGCCTGGCGTTTAAACATACACGTGCCTGGGAGTATTCATGGGGCTGTGCTGTCCATGCCTGTGTGTGCTGTGGATGTGCTGGGGACGACTGTGGTGCTGAGGTTATTAATTCACGCAGCAAATAGTTACTGAGGCCCCTCGGTGCACGCTCTGTTCTCCATGCTGCAAGGACACAGATCCCTGCCCCATTCTGTGTGCCCAGGATGTGTGTCCTTTTGTGTCTACCTTGTGTGCTTCAGTTTCGGGGTGTAGGGAGTGTACATCATGTGTGCCTGTGTCCCGAGTGTGTCTGGTTCTGTGTCCACACTCAGATGACCTCCCCTCCCAGGCCCAGCCTGTGTGCTTGTCCACATCTGGATGTCTGGCAGGGGACAGCTCAGGGGCTGGGGGTAGGGGAGGGTGTGTCCCTGGTCAGATGGGCCCCTGGGGCACTCCCCAGGCTGGCCTGTTCTGTAGTGGAGACCACTGCCTCACCCCTCATTGTCAGACCTTCCTACATGACCTCCCTGGGCTTCCATGAGCTCATGGAAACATGGTTCCTTGTAACCTGAGACGTGCGCTGGGCAACTCTTAGAGGAGGCCCAGGGGAGGGAGACTCCCAGGGTCTCCCCCTGGGACTTGTTCGTTCTGTTCCTCACTCGTGGAGGCCCGTTCCTGAGCTGGGCGCTGGGGATAGAGATACTGTTCAGACCTGTTTGTGCCTTTGAGGTGCTGTCAGTCTCGAGGGAGAGATGGACACAGACATGAGGATTTTGGTAGAATGTAGATGTCTGTTAAGATGGGGGAGCAGAGGCTATGGTGGGATTCACGGAGGACACTTGGGAGTCAGGGGAGGCTTGCAGGAGGAGGTGACCCTGGGGCTGAGTTGAAACAATATTTCCTCTCCACTTTGGGGAAGTGTCAGAGGGGCATTTGGGTTCCCCCTTCTTTTTTTAAAAAATAAATTTATGTATTTATTTTTGGTTGCTGCGCATGGGCTTTCTCTGGTTGTGGCGAGTGGGGGCTACTCTTTGTTGTGGTGTGCGGGCTTCTCATTGCGGTGGCTTCTCTTGTTGCGGAGCACCAGGCTGTAGGCGCGCAGGCTTCTGTAGTTGTGGCTCGCGGGCTCTAGAGCGCAGGCTCAATAGTTGTGGCGTACGGGCTTAGTTGGTCTGCAGCATGTGGGATCTTCCCAGACCAGGGCTCGAACCCGTGTCCCCTGCACTGGCAGGTGGATTCTTGACCACTGCGCCACCAGGGAAGTCCAGGGTTCCCCCTTCTTTTTTTTTTTT